AGGGCTTATGCCAATTGCTTTCGCGCAAAGTCTACTGATCTCATGTTAAAGTTTTGCGAGGGTCTCCGAACATACGGGACATCCCACTCATGTGTGTGTACAATGATAATGTACCAGTAGACCATGACAATACTTAGTACTCGTTAAGCTTAGCACTCGTAACCCACTACTGATATGGAACTACTAAACATTCAGAAAACGGTAAACGGCAGACGGTAATGCGGTTACGGGTCACGTTTTTTTTTTTTGCTCACATTTGTTAAGGGCTGTTAAATTAGGACCCTGAATTTCTGTATGTTAGGAAATTAGAAGCCCACGTGTAGATCCGGCCCGCGAGCGACTCTGGCAGTGCTGAGTAAATACGTACACAGGACCTTAAGTAAACAGCCGTAGCCAATCAACGTATTATGCATTAGCGGGGCTCCTGGCCGTTGTTTCGGCGCGTCGCCATGGTAACAGGGAACTGCTGCGCATCAGCCGTCATTATATGTCTGTCCCCGGTTTCCAGGACGCCGTAACAAGCCTGAGGCTGGGCGCAGCGCCTGCAGTTCTCCCGCTGGACCCGGCACACCGCCTGCCTCCGCCACCGACAGTGATCGGGCTTAGCGAGCCTCCCTGTCGGCTCTGTCACACAGTCAGCCGCACAGCTCGACCCCAGCACGCACCAGCAGTGGCAGCTGCCAGGCCGACTGACACTGAGCAACTTTCGCGACGGCCAGCGGAGACGGTCGTGGTCGTTTTGGTCGTGAATCATGCAGCAGTTTTTTTCCACATACAAGACATGTGTGTATATTCTTACAAATGCTCTTTTTCCGACGGATAGACCGCACCAACAGACTTATGCTTCTCCTCCCAACATTACAGCTCCCCTGTGGAGCGTTTCGCAGCGGGATCTACCATGCAACTTCCATGATTCTCAGTGGAGTCGAAAGTGAAGACCACACCCAGGCACACCGCAACCAGGCGAACAAGCCTCGAGCGGCTGACCCCCCCCCCCCCCCCCCCCCCCCAGAAAGGGACGCTCGTTGCCGCAGCATGGCGGTGCCGTCGCTGTCATTGTTCTAGCCATCGGAACCGCACCAGTGTACCATTCGGCGCAACGTTTGATCCTCCCCACGCATGATCGGAAGTCCTGGCACGCAAGGTCCGCCACGCCAGGGTTTCAAGGTGGTGACAGCCACAGCGGGCGGCTCGAAACACCCTGGAGCTGAACGGCCGTTGCGGGGCGGAGCAGGCCGTTGCGGGACAGAGCGGGTCGTTGCGGGGCAGAGCGGGCCTCCTCAGGGCAGAGCGGTCTGGTGTGAGGCCGAACGGGCTGCTGCGAGCCAGAGCGGGCTACTACGAGGCAGAGCGGGCCGCTGCAAGGCAGAGCGGACCGCTACGGGGCACAACGGATCTCTGCAGGGCAGAATAGGTCTCCTCAGGGCAGAGCGGACTGCTGCACGGCCGAACGGGCTGTTGCGAGCCAGAGCGGGCTACTGCGGGGCAGAGCGGACCGCTGCGAGGCAGAGCGGATCGCTGCGTGGCAGGGAGGGTCGCTGCGGGGCACAGCGTGCGGCTCGAAACACCTGGAGTTGAACGGCCGCTGCGCTGCACAGCCGGCCGCTGCAGGGCAGAGCGGACCGCTGCGAGGCAGAGCGGGTCTCTTTAGGGCAGAATGAGTCTCTTCAGGTGCTTGGACTGTCATATCAATAGCAGTCATGAAAGAACACCTCTAGGCTCTCACAGGCTCATAGGCTCACAGCACTGGTGCGTTAGCTATGCCATCTGCATGGGCGTTCCTGACGTTTTAACATTTGATCGTCGCACTGGAAGCTCTATGCGTAGTTTAAGCACGCTTAAAGTCAAGCAGCTTGGCTACGGCGCGTGTTTGCTCACTGCGCGTTAAATGATTCAGTTGAATTGCCGTGTTTCGACTCACAACTATGTCCGGTCACGCAACGATAAAAAGTGATTATCGAACGATGTTGGACAGCATCAAACCTTGAAATCCACTGGCTTGGACCATGGGTGCGCAATATGAAGTAAGTATTGCACATTATCCCGCACGTGACACACAACTGGTTAAGCGAGGGTGCGCATGGGAAAGAATTCGCTGCTTGGTCACGATGTTGTTGATATCCAACGATCTTTGAGTTCAACAGGCTGGCACGAATGAGCGGCATGACAAATGAAGCATTTTAAAAAGGACGTCAGACCAAATGGGTTCGAAGAACTTAAAAGCTGCCGAGCCGGCTGAAAGTGAGCGACAGTGAGTTAAAAACATAAGCAACCGCCCTAATCGAAAATACTGCTTGCTTAGAGACAACCGCGCTGTTCGTAAACCGATCTAATTCAGATTCTTTACCAATCGGTGCATTGTCGCAGAATTCGTTAGAGCCCAGCCACGTCCGAGGACGCACGGGCCCCATAGTGACATCTGCGCAGAACTACGGGCATCATCACAGTGTTCAGGGCTGAGACAAATGGCTTCAAACTTGTGCCTCTGTCAATAAAGCCCACCTCGTTCGACAAGGCCAGTAACAGCTGACGGCGCTATCAGGAATTTTGTATGTGACACTTTCAGTGAAGCACTCAAGCGAAGGCTGCTTTCCCTGCCTGGTCCTGATTTTGACACTCGATAGATTGCTGTGCACTTTGAGCGAAGCATTCGTTTTGCTCATGTTGCAAGCACATCGAATTCAAGTACATCCAGATGCCCACACTTTGCTTGCAAGTATCAATTTTTCGTCCGCATGCCGCCATACTGAAGTGACCCCGCGGTTGGTCCGGCTGACATGACTTCCCAGCATAATTAGTTCGCGAGCCGGCACGACTCCCCTCCCCCAGTTCTGCGAATGGGGGCGGAAGACGAGCTTGCCTTGGCGCCCAACCGCTGGCAACAGCCCCCGGAGGACGAGCTTGCTTCGACGTCCGACCGCCAGCGCCAGCTCCGGGCAGACGAGCTTACCTCGACGTCTGACCGCTGGCGCCAGCTCCCGGCAGACGAGCTTACCTCGACGTCCGACCGCTGGCGACAGCTCCCGGAGGACGAGCTTACTTCGACGTCTGACCGCTGGCGCCAGCTCCCGGCAGACGAGCTTACCTCGACGTCTGACCGCTGGCGCCAGCTCCCGGCAGACGAGCTTACCTCGACGTCTGACCGCTGGCGCCAGCTCCCGGCAGACGAGCTTACCTCGACATCCAACCGCTGGCGACAGCTCCCGGAGGACGAGCTTACTTCGACGTCTGACCGCTGGCGCCAGCTCCCGGCAGACGAGCTTACCTCGACGTCTGACCGCTGGCGCCAGCTCCCGGCAGACGAGCTTACTTCGACGTCCGACCGCTGGCGACAGCCCCCGGAGGACGAGCTTGCTTCGACGTCCGACCACCGGCGCCAGCTCCCGGCAGACGAGCTTACCTCGACGTCTGACCGCTGGCGCCAGCTCCCGGAGGACGAGCTTACCTCGACGCCAGACAGCTAGCGCCAGTTCCCGAAAGACGCTCTGGCTATAAGCATGTAACTGAACCCCAGCCAACATCCACCGCCATTAACTGGACGTCGTATTCCCAAAACACCTCGTCTCCTCTGCACCGCACCCGCTCCAGCCCCACATCAGGTCATCACGCCGTGTGCCCGTCTCCCGGGCCTGGCTGTCGAGCCACAGCCCGGACAGTCACCACTGAGGCGGCAGAGGCACCGATCCCCCTCGGCGCGCACCATCGCGGCAGCTCTCGGCCAGCCTCCTGAGCACCGCCTCCGAAAATCCGCCAACCAGAAGGATTGCGGCGACCATTTGTTCCCTCTCGTCGTCCGTTCCTTCGCTTCAACGCTGCCATCTTTTGGCCTCCCTTACTCTGCGGGCCTCGATAGTGACAGCACTTGAGCAGCCCCCAGTATGTTCTTCCCGGTAAGCCTACATCAAGGCGATCACCTAACCCTCCCCATCCAGCTATGATCTCCAACACCGCCATGCCTCACCCAGCTCTATGCCGCCGCCTCCTCGTCCTGCTCCGTCCGTGCAGGTGCCTCTCCCCCCCCCCCCCTCCGAGACCAGCGTCTGCACCCGCCGAGTCTGACAGGACTGCCTGAAGACGCCTGCCGACCGCGCTGCTGCCGCCGGCCGGCCGCCGCCGGCAGGCCGCCGCCGGCCAGCAGGTAGGCGGCTATCTTGGGCCGGCAGCGCCGTCCGTATTGATTGCAGGGCCGGGCGGCGGCCGTCTGCAGACTGAGCAGGCTGCGCGCACAGCTGGACAGCCGACGAGCCGCCGCTCTCCGGACCGACAGACCGGCTGGCGACACGTGTCGCTCAGGGCCGCCCTGGCGCCGCCGCCGCCTGGCTCAATGCGCGATCGAGTCTGCCAATGCTAGCGGCCGTCTGGGGCCATGGCGCCGGGACGCAGGCTTCCGCTGACGCGCTCACGAACGCTCCAGATGGTGCGCTTTGGTGGTTTTTGGCCGCTGCTGCGTTGCCCACACGGATCTGAGTCAGCGGTTTCCGCCACGGCCATATGGCGCAGATATCCGCCCACGTAGAAGCGTCGTGATCATTTCACTTCTAACCAGGTTGCGGTCGATTGTTCATTGCCCATTTATCCACTGTTTCGCATCCTTTCGATACTTTATGCGCTTGGGTAAGGCCACGGATCCAGCGAACAAACGCACAGCCATGTTGGCTACAGCGTCGGTGGTGCCTCCAACGATCTCTTGAGCGCACGGTCAACAACAGCGTGTGCACAAACTCTTCACCGAACAGATTATTGACCTCTGAACTAAAATGGAACCTCTGAACATGGCGTGTGTACATGATCAGCGGTCAAGTATACACATCATGATATGCACACAGAACATCCATTTTCGTAGCGTGACTTACACATACGCAGATGGGGTGCCTCATGACGAATAGTTTTTAAGTGAGATCACGAAGCAATACGCAAAAATGCAGCGTTGCCTGAAACACGGGTGAACGCCAATCGGGTGATAGATTTTCACCCGTATTCTCACAATGAAAGGTACATACCGCTGAAGCAGCGTTCGAAATCTTCGCAGAGATCTTCAAACAAGCATCCTGAGGAAGGAAAACACGCATGTAAAACAGATGAACAGGGCAGCCTGCGACGGATATAGGTCTCACACCAGCTGCTATTCTAACAGACTGAACAAACAAGGCGGCTGTTTACTTGCATTATGAAAGGCAAAACATATGCACGACTAGACCAATGTCTGGCCTAAGGCCTTGATTGCAATGACTGCTCCGAACAAAGCTCTTCTTGTTCTCATGTTCTATGTTGGTGATATAATTCTCTTAAAACTGTGCAGCCGCCGCTTAAAAATTCCCCTCGGGAGGCCAGACCGACTGTGCGGGCTGCACAGACTGCCGGACGCATCCGAGCTGCCACAGCTCATGGCAACGACCGAAAACGCAGGGCGAGCGAACCTTACTTGAGCCATGATAATACTGTTACCCTGATCGTCACGGCCGGCTCGGTTCCCAGAAGACCATATCTTTGCAACCACTGATTTCAGATTCATGCAGCCAGATTGCTATGCATTACCGGTCAAGTAGTTTGACCGGATGGGCTATTCCTGCAACCTTGCAAGATCACCGCGATTCCAACTCCCTTATTCGACCTGCACAGAAAATGCAATTTTCAGCCCGCAAAAACCTGGCGAACGCGGGTCGAAACCGGGTCCGGGTCTCGACAGCCAGCATCGCGGCAATACGGAATGGACGGATACTCAAGACGGAGAATACCCACATCGGCAGAAGTGTCGGTTGATGCATGCAGACAGCTGAATCAGCCCGTTTCGTGCTTTTTTTGTAGGAACGATGTCAGATCTCAGCGAGCAGGAAGAATGAAGACGTGAAAAACACCGGCGAGAAATTACTTATGCATTTCAACATCGTTCGAATCATAAGTGTACTTGCCTAGAACTGATCTAGAGTGCAAGACGTTGTGGCGGAAGAAGTGGCACACTGGATCACAAAAGTCCCACCGAAGTGTAGTCCTGGTTAGTGTACTCAACACCCATCGGAAACGTTTGCATCTGTCACAATGCTCCGGTTACAATGGGCAAAACCGCAAACCAATGCAAATTCATTAAATTTGTCGGCTAAAATTGCCAACCATGACCAGCTTCACAACCGGCCTTTTTCACGAAATGCCATTCGTGAATACGTGAGCGGGCTTTTAGTGGACCTCTGCCTGTTAACTAGTCATGAATGATTGATTGTGGAACGCATAAGTCCAATCTTCTGGCCACCGGATGTTGGGTGTGTCTGGCTTCAGCAGCTTATTTTTTACATCACCTACATAACAGCGGATGACCCTCATATCCGTAAAAATCTCGCTCGCACCTCGCTGCCAAAGATGCCCTACTGGTCGTATAGGTCAAAGTAATGGCCATTGCTCATCGAATCTTTTCATTATCAAGGCTTGTCTGAATATCATAGACGTCGTTCTGTTAGAAAGCGTAAACATGATTGCTGGATCTAATTGTATATTTGATTCATTTGGACTATCTGTGCGACTTTGGCTTCTCCTTTGTTGTAATGAAGGAAAAGAATGAACAGAGAGGACATCCCAGACGTGTCATATCTTTGCGTATGCGTGTGTGGCACACTAAAAACATGAGCGAGGAATTTCGTGCTGGACTTTTCAAGTGATTATTTATGGGACACAGGCAATTTCCGTGCAGTCACACTTATGGAAAGCGATATCTCAAAGATAGTCATTCCATGTTCATAGGATTCAAACTTAGTCCATAATTCGCTTTCCGGGAGCGGACACAGCTGCACTACCAGTCCAACTCGGTAATGACATTGGTGTTCAGTTACATCAGCAGCTTGAATCAAATGGACAGCAAATGCCGCTCTTCCGTACTTGCCCCCACTACGTCGGATGGACTCCCAACGTACCACCTGCGCGTTGTGGCTGTGAGTTGACAACGGTGAAAGCCACACGGTAATGGATGATGCTAGTAGTCATCCAGCCCCATTAGCTGTCTTGGATAGTACGGCGTAATGTGCGTCAAGACTAATAAGAGGTGTAACCCAGCCACCTGCACGTCCCCCGGCGTGCATCAGCGATTGCACTCTGAGGCTGGGACAAGTAGTCTAGCAAGTGAAGGCGGTGGACACATGACTGACAGATATGACAGTTTTATGTCACGTATTGAGCGTCATTTTATGGAGTGTCTTTCGTATGTAATGTTCTGTGTTTGCATAGCAGTATCTTATTCCCTACCAAAAGTTCTTGCTGGTCTATGTTTTTATCACAGAGCGACCCTAAAAAAACTGAATTCCAATACTGACACTGCGGCAAACTCCGGCTTTTTGGAGGCGTGCCTAGAACAGTTCTGCCCGTCTGGCGAGACTCGAGACTTGCCGATGTTTGCTTGAAATTTTCAGCACCTAACTTAAAACCTCAACTTCTTGCTCTGCCACGTTAGCGGCATAATTCCCAAAGATACCCACGACAAAACAAAATGGCGGAGAATACCCGGCGGCGCACTCTCCACTATGCATGCGCCGCGTTATCTTGGTCGGTGATCCTGAGAACGCGCTGCGCGACCTTTACAGGCGCCATTGGAGGCCAAGTTGAGATTCGGTCTCAATTTGACGTCAAGCTACCTCGCGTTTTACACGGCAGTTTCATGACTTAAACGTAAACGACTGGCGTGGGCCAATAGTGACGCAAGGGCTCTTCAAAGTCTAGATGAAAGGGCAGTCTTAAAAGAGAGCATCCAGATCCAAGAGGCCATCACTGGCCGAAAAATCGTGAGGCACATCGGATACCCGAAAAGATGAAAAGAGGAGGTGTTAGCGATGCTCATGCGAGCCGGAAGCTGCAGGTGAACCAGAAGCCGGCTGCTGCTGGGTGGTGCAAGAGAGCGTAGTTTCTTCCTTTTGTTCGGACCACTGTTTTCGGCATATAAACAAGAAATGCTTTCTTCACTTTCACAGCCAAACATTTAATTAAACATTTTCTACCATTCTGGCAAGGTAGGTTAAAGGGAGTGTTCCACATTTGTTTTGGGGTTATGAGCTGAGATGGTCATTTTGGAGATCGGTTCACAGTTTAGTTCACAGCCCTGCCTTTCTTAGTGCCTTAAACCCGCTAATTTCTGAGCTGGACGCCCGCAAAGATGTGCAGACCAATTTGTGTAGGCTTTTCCAGGCTATTCAGGCACACATGATGCCATAGCAACGTCGTTCAACGCCGTCGCCGTAGCCCAGCCGTTCAGATCTGGCGTCCGCGAGAACGGCTATGTAGTGGATGTCAGTGGACATGGACGTCGGTTGGCTCTCGAACAACGCTGAGCAAGCCGTGCCAGCTCCAATCATTTTGCTTTGCTCAACGTTTTTTGCTACGCAAGTAAGTGGCTGTACATGGTTGGTTCAGTTGATAGTTATTACGGTATCACGATTTGTAATCGAATAAGTTAAAGAATACCGCCGGAACCGAGTTTTTGAACATAGGTAAACATCTTAAACTCACGGATGGCTACGCAAGAACATCACCAGACAGGACCAAAAGCACGAACACATGACGATATTTCTCGTGACGAGCTCGAAGTACTACAAGTAAATGCTTCGATGGCAATTTCGTACGGATAGTTTGGCAGCATCTCAACGCCATATAAACGTTCTATGACGCGATCAGACAATAATGTATTCGGGAGCCTATCTGCCCAAAAGATGAATTTTGTTGTTTAGAGCAGCTGTTTCACTTAAAAGTATAGCAAAGTCATAAGTGAGTCTTTTTCATCACATCTGATACTTGCTTTAATATCTTCAAATGTTGAACGTTCCCTTTTGATGTTTGAAATATGCATATTGCATTAAGATAATTGACGTTTCCATCAGGTCAAGTCAGATTTGAGTGCAAACGAGACAGTTTGTTGCTTGATCTATAAACATTAGTATGCTTGCTCAATGATGGCCCTGAAAACGTGCCCGGCAGAGGCATTCCTTCAGGCGTCTCTGCGAAAAGCTCTAAGGGAACCGCGACGCCCCAGAAATTGGGATGAGCACCGGCCTGTCAGGCGCCTCCGTCGACAGCGGAGAGCGTCGTCGACCAGAGGGCGAGCCACGAGGAGCCGCGCCCGCGGAGAGGCCAGGTGCCGGCGCCGGCCGCGTGGGCGGACCCCAGCCGCCCGCGCGCCCTCCCACGCCGCAGCGGCTCGGTATTTTGGTGACTGCGCTATGACGTCACACGAGCGCGTCGAGATCGATGCCGGACGGCGCAGATAGGGGTCGCCCGCGTCGTTTCCGGCGGTGGTCAGTCGCAATCCCGACCTTGCCGTGGCGCCGGGCGCCCATTATGCCATCGCACGCGATGGGAGGACACCCCGGAGACATGGAACGCGTCGGGGAGTTCAGCCAAGTACACCGTTTGACCCAGCGTTGTGGGAACCTACCATACGCTGCACAGGTACGGCGATAGAGGTCAATACGCCAGAGGCGGCCAGCCGCCCTCATGCGTAGCGGCGGACATTCTGGTTAATCCTGACCCGGCGGATACGACCGTCTGCCACCCAAAACACAGTAAAGACGGTTGTCTCTTCATGTAGACACAACAAGACGGGCGACTACCCGTCCACGAAGAGGAAGCGGATTCAACCGGCCTTCCACCCGTGCGAAGCGGAAACGGACAACGATCCACCGAGACACAGGTGGCGCCGCCATGTGTCCAGCAAGGCGTGAGAGAAATCGCTCTCTTTCCACCGAGACAGGGTCAAAGACGAAGTTGTCTGCACGTCGAGGCGCGACCGTGATGTCCGCTTGTCCTCCGCCCAGGCAACCCGGGCTGCCGTCTGTTCATCCAGACACAGTGCACGTCTGTCTCCTCAGGCATAACGATTGACAGGCCGTGCTGTTTGCCCACGCAGGCACGGCACATGTCCCGCCCGCTGTGCGTCAAAGTTCGGTCGTTTGCGAACCATGCCAGTGGCGCAGAGTTTTGTTTCTTCTGGGCCGACACGTACTTCGAGGCGCTCACGCCTAGGCTGCCAGCAAATAAATAGGCGAACTCTTGAAACAAACGCTAGCGAAGTTGAGGCCGA